AAGCTTGTGCAGCTGGAGAAACGATGGATACCCAAACTAGAGGGTTACAGTTTGTACATTCGCCCCACTATGATTGGTACACGGCCCGGTAAGTGGACGTCATCTGCTGGCAGAAACTCGGCACCTTATCAAGACTTCTAGCGATTGGCGTGGCGGCATCGACGCATGCGTGCTTATACGTCATTTGCTCCCCTACTGGGCCATACTTTCCGACTGGGTACAAGCCCATCAGCTTATGGGCTGAACAGGACGCAGTTCGTTCTTGGCCCGGAGGAACGGGCGCATATAAGGTATGATACATTTTATACGACAGCTAAACCAGCTAATCTACTGTTTGCATTAGCTTGGGATCAACTATGCGCCGTGTTTTAAACCTCAGCGGGAGGCGGCGAAGAAAGGATATCAGCAAATACTTTGGATTTTAGGTGAAAATCAGTGCGTAAGGGTATCATTAATGCAACGCATATAGTTGACTGTTAGATACAGACAGATCACCGAGGCTGGTCAAATGAACTTTTTCGTCGTATTCAAAAGAGAAGACGGTGGTACGCTGGTAGCTTTACTAGATTGTTCCAACACGTCCTAAACCCTTGAGTAGGTTTTGACGCAATTACGCCTGCCCTAGACGGAACAATCCTTCCCGGCGTGACTCGTGATTCGGTGCTCGATCTCATCAACTCACCTTCGTCTCCCATCAGCAGCTTTATTGCCGCGCACGAACTTCGATCGGAGGAGCGCACAGTCACCCTTCACGAAGTCAAAGATATGGCAGAAAGAGGCCTACTTGTGGAAGCATTTGGAGTTGGAACGGCTGCAATCATCTGTCCTATTGGGCGAATTGGGTACCAAGACAAGTCGGCTGGTACCGATTCCATATTAGAAATAGAAGTACCAGCATACAAGAGCGGTCTAGGGCCGGTTGCGAGTGTGTTGCTGGAGAGCATCGTAGCGATCCAGGAAGGGAGGGTGGAATTTGAAGGATGGAGTGTATCATGCGCATAGTGGTAACAGACTTGTATTCTAAATATAAGCTGATACGAGCTATCTTACGATTAAGCCAGGGTAAAATATGGCCTATGTCGAGATGACATGGAAACCATCGGTAGATGGTATGTGCATTGTGTGTACTATGTAAGCCTGCAATCTTTCCAACATGCATAGGGACATTTTTTCCCCGTATCTATCCTCTAACGAGGGACTAAGATATACTGTAGGGTGAAGCAGGGGAGTTAAACATCATTGTCTGCAAAACTGCCTGTTTTGGGAGGCAAGCACGTGACCATCCCGCAACCAACTCTGACCCCCTCCCCTCCACAGGTTGCATCGCCTTAAAAAACATGTGCACAAGAGGTAATATCAAGCTAATATCAGCTGTAACAACTCACATGTAGAGCTACGCACTCGATTTTATGGCGCAGGGTGAGAAAAACTGACTAGACGCTGGTTGATGTCTTGCTTTTGAAGCTGCGAGTTTCCGAGGCGTTGGGCCAAGTTTAGGAATCGTAAAAAGGCCCCAACCAGGAGTTGAACCTGGGACCTCACCCATGAAGTAAGCGCAAAGCTACGGGTTGAACTCCCGAAGGGCGAATCATACTACTAGACCATTGAGGCTTGGCTATTGCCAATCTTAGAACATTCACATTTCTAGGCATGGTTCTTTGCTAATTATGGTATTCAATGCCATACTTCTCTTTGAAAATGGCGCATATAGCTACTGAATCCAAGTCGGTGGCTTATATACTTGAGCGTGGCGCGAGCCACATGAATATCGGGAGCGAGCTACTAACTCAACCATAAACGTGGCTCATATTTGCGAGTTTGCAGAGTGGGAATAAGCAATGGACGGAAACTTTCTCGCATGCAAGGTACGTAGTTATAACTGGTGAAAGAGTTTACGACAATACCTAGCCGGGTATGGCATTATCAAGTGCGACCACTAGCATATTGTAAGTGCTCAGCTAGCTAGCATCGCCTTGATATATCTGATAAAACATCGAGTCAATAGATGTTTATGGGAATCACTGTCCACCCAGTATCTCGCTTCGTACCACCGCACGCCATCCGGAAGCAGGACGGCTTTCGGTGTTCGCGCTCTGCCATACTGAGAATCTGTTTCTGCACTTCGAAATCTTATACACATATGAGCTATAGTACTACTCTATGAGGTATGTAGACCCTAGAAGGGCCGGATTGCTGATTATAGAAAATGTAAAGAAAAGAACCAGGACAACCAAACCTCGACATATCCAGAAGCGAAACACGCATGTTTGTGGGGAATATGCGCAATTGTTGAGGCCGATGAAGTACAGCGTATAATTATGCTCACTTATCTCATTTTGGCCTAGAGAGGGACGTGACACGGATTGCCGTAGGCTTCGCAACTTGCCCGTAGATTATAGGTTTTAGGCAGGATGCAAATTTGAAATTCGATGATCGGCTCTCAAAGGCAACTCACACTCAAATGCTTTGAAATTTTGCACACAGTTGGTTTGATATATTGTGAGCGATAGAGCGGCTAACCGTGGAGTGCATCATCACTAACGCATACAAACGTAGTCGTTCCGCTTTCAGGTCGCGTTTCGTTTCCGGGTGGCGTACGGTAGTACTAAACAAGAGACGGCATCGCATTCGCTACTTTTTCAAGAGACCGGATACAACATGTAATTAATTCAGTCTGCTGTCGTATCCACCGTCATATCAGCTCATGGAGGCCTCCGCCTACTCGGCGAGCTCGACAATAAAGGCGAGCGCAAGCTATACAATGTTAGCCAATTTCATCATTGTATGCACTGAGGAACTGACCTTGACAAACTTGCTGGCCTTGTCAAAATTGAGCTTATCGATTGTGTCCGACGCGCTGTGGTAGTACGGGTTCAAGTACGTATCGGACGGGCCAGACTCGTCAATCGACACAGACGGGTAACCCTGGTTGTACCACGAGACTGAAAAAGTGTGAGTTAAAGCTAGTGACGAGAAGGATTGACCACTTACAGTGATCCGAGCACGCGTAGCCACACTTGTTCGTATAGAGCGACGCCTCAGGGACATAAGACGAAATAACCTTTTGGCTAAATGACTGAAGCGAAGCATCCGTGTCGGTGAGAACCGTCAAGACGGGCTTGGAAGTCGGCTGGTATGCAACCATGTCAAACTGGAGCATTGCACGAACAGCCCTAAAGATTTGTATTAGTCACAAAATTGAATATATGCGTGCTTGTCTGAGACTTACCTGCCAGCAGACTTGTACTGCTTTGCAACAGTGGCACTACCGAGCATACCACCCTCCTCACCACCGTAAGCATGGAACTCGACTGGACGCGAGCCCGACCAGCCGTTGGCCTTGAGGATTTGCAAAGCCTGAAGGAGGATGGCGATGCCAGAGGCGTCTAAAACAGGATGACGCACGGCTTAAATACAAGAGCAAGATACGCACCATCATCCGCACCGGGAGCACGTGCAGTAGTACTGCCGCCAACAGTCGAATCAATGTGTGCACCTAAGCCATGTTAGAGTCGCATATCTCCGGCATCAAGTTGTACACACCCAAGATGATAGCGTCAGTCAAGGTCGAGCCCGACTTTGCCGGGATGGTCGCAATGACGTTCGGCTGGTTGAACGAGTTGGCAATAGTCTTGACGTTTGCGGAGCCGGCGGCATTGGCGAATTGGGTCTGGATCCAGGTCGAACCAGCAGCCGCGTTTGTGCTCTTATAGTAGCGAGTGGTATAGCTGGAGAGTGTGGATACAGTGCTCGAGAGACCAGAAGCAGAAATAGAGTTGAAATACGTCGTCAAAGCCGGGTACTATCATCAAACATGAGCTCAATGTTCGACCAAATAAAACCGCCCTACCTTGGACGGCGTCGGCGTAGGATATGTTGCGCGGGCCTCGAGACCATGAGACTCGCGACGGACAAACTCCATGCCGGTAATGTCAAGGAAGCCGGGGCCACGAAGGGTATGGTTTCCGAGTCTGTATATGATCGTGTCGGAGACGCCTGCGAGCTCGGGATGGATGGTACGCAGAGCATCTGCACCCTTGGTCAAGTCGACAGAGTGGGACTCGCGCAAAAGAGCGATAGCCGCAGTGGGAACCCATTCAGCCTGGTTGTCGCCTGGGCCATACTGAAACGATGGTTAGCCACAAATGGAATAATTAGCACCCGACTTACCTTGAGCAAACGCGAATCCGCATTCAGCGGACGCACACCCGCAGGGACAACCACACCCGCTGTGAGTGAGGCGAGAGCAAATGAGCCAATAGCGAGCACCGCGAGCATTGTGAGAGACCGCAATTGAAAAGAGATTTAGATAGGGGTATTTGTATGGGGACCGTATCGTGCATCGCCATATGGAACATCTATGCGGTTAACGTGGAAGCAGCCCACACACTTGTGATCGAGAACCACTTTCTCCACTAGTGCCAAGTCTCTGCATGCTACACAAGTCCGATTTACCTCGTCGAAGTTCAGAGTCATGTGGAATCGCGACACGTGACCGCGAATCAGTTCGACCAAGCCGGCGCTCATCCCCCTTTTGGGCCAGACTTGCTGCTAAGCGAAGATGACCTCGCTTGTTATCTTGCGCAGCACTTATACGTACAAAGGAATCCTGCTATCACATTATAAATGTCTCTGGGGACCGAAAGCAAACATTCCTTGGCCATCGTGCTCGGAATACCAACGTTTGCACGCTGTCAGGCTGGCCAACCAGCCCCCGGATTGTCTCAGCGCCTGCTTAACCGAGCGACCACCCAACGCATGTCAATAGATTGAGGAGCATGTCGGCATCTATCGGTTTTATGGGCGAGGGTGCTGGGCCTACGTTCCTATACTTAGCAACCCCGAAGCCGCATAGATTTACTATACCTTAGCATCTGACCGGACGCCATCCCCCGGTTACGGCAGAACCTTCTTTCCTGCTACGCATTTACTACCTTCTAGGTCCCTACCTATATGATACCCCGTCCAGTCGAGTAACCTGTACCCCTAAATTCGTGTGGAAGCTTAATCGCCCATATTGAGTGTAGTAATCTGGCTGAAGCGATAAATGTGAATAGATTAGACAACAGCGAATATGACAGTGGTATAAGGATGAGGATAAAGCTAGCGATACAGGCTTCGTGGGTGACACACCGTTGGTGACACAACAAATATTACGATACTCAAACAAGCCAGATTGGGTATAAAATTAGAGCATCTGGTAAAGTGAGAAGAGTCAGCTATGAGACACCACCAAAGGCGAGCAGGATTAGTCAAGACGTACACAACATCCATATTCTAACAGTTTACGTGCCGATTGCTCCTTCGCGCGTTGATAGGATGTCCCATAGCCGACAACACTTGGCTCATTCCACAGAATATTTGGTCCATAAACTAAGACAGGATTGAGTCGGATGATAAGTAACACAGAGGTTCAGATATGCGCACCAATAGGCGTCGCATACTGAACAGTTCCTCGGGGGGTGCGTGACTCTGAAAACCTCCAACGCACATCGTGCGCGTTGGCGTCGATCCGAGCTCGGTGGAACAGCGATTGGCTCGCATATTCTCGAGCTTCATCTCGTGATGGAGCCCACCCAGAGCACTCTTGGTATGCTTTCCCCTTGCAATCAGGGACTAATCGTATGAGAAAACCGCGTTAGATGTTATTTGCGTTACACCTGTGAAATAATAATAAAACTCACATCTTGGAATTGCATAGAATCCTGCCCGCCGATTGTCTTTGTCCGCAGGTTCAATCTCCCAATCGACTGGTTGAACCTGGGCGAGTTGAGCCCAGTTATTGATTTCCTCGAGATAGGAATTAATATCAGGGCTGGGTGTGTAATAACGCGAGAACTCGTATCGTATCCTGCGAGATCTGTTAGTAGGCATGCCGTACACAAAGAGTGGCTTGTCCTCGACTCATACTTTCGTGGTATTTAAGCCCAGACGAACCAACGGTGCTCAGCGTTATTCATTTCAAGCGGTGAGTGGAATCTTCGCTTGTACTAGGCACGGATGAAGGTCTGCCGCGCCTCTTGACCTTGTGAAACAATATCTCATAGCTTGTGCGCCACCAAGTGGAAACCTCGCTCTCAAAGCCATTTTCATTTAGTTGGACGTAAACAAAGAACACTCGATTACTCGATAGAAATCCGAGTTATGCCGCGAACCAAGCCCAAGCACTGTAGACACTGGCGGAGTTATGGAGGCTGGCGCAACTTTACCAAAAGGTGATCCAACAGGTAGGATATAAAGGCGTGTCTAAGTAGTCAAGGCGCATAGCAAAACCATCCAGACGAAGAAGCCGATCACGTTCGTTCCGCCACCCCCAAGCACAGTACTAGAAGGATAAGTTCTGGGATTTAAACTCGCATATTTCGGCCGGTCTGCGTTCCTGTAAATAAAGGTGCTTTTTACCGAGTGGCACTGTCATCGATGAGAAACGAGATAAAGAACAAGCAAAACCAGAAATTACCCGGCCAGGGACTCAGAATTTAGGGTAAATCCATGGGCGAAATTCGTACCGGAAAGACATTTTAGTCGGCGGGAGTCGGCTTGAAGAGTGCAATACTACCAGCAGCGCAGTAGCAGAGAAATTTGTGCCTGTGCTTCAACTGGGGCAAAGC